CTGGCCCCGTCTGTGGCCCCACCACAGGTGGGGCCATGTGTTTACAGGGGTCCCAGTGGTTTACAATGAATCGCAATGAACCAATTTGGATAACTAACCAACGTCATGGTGGGAAGACTGGAATGATTTATTGGCCCGGCAGTGATGCACGCTATAACGATACAATGCAATACGTCTCGTTTGGGCTCTACAGTGGTCACCCCACCCTACGCTTCAGAGTGGACAGAATAATGGAATGGATAACCCAACCGGACGTTAACTTCTGCATGCTCTACTTCAATCAGCCAGACTCAGCTGGTCACAAATATGAACCAGATTCCAAGGAGGTCCTCGATGCAATCGAGCTAACAAATGACGGTATTGCCTACCTACTGCAGAGAATCGAACAAGCAGACTTTCAGGGCGAAAAGCCCAACGTAATTGTAACAAGTGACCATGGAATGAATGCTGTTAGTTACAAGAGGGTCGTCAACGTTAGTGCATTGCTTAGCCCTACAGAGTACAGATTTGGAGTCGATGGATCGCCTGCCAACCTTGGAATATGGCCAAATGATGCTAATAAGCGTAAGTAAACATATTCGGTGACGATATCGGTCTACTCATTTCAAAAAAAGGCGAGCAAATGCTTGCGATAAATTCTCGTCAGTCTTTTACCGGTCTATTTACCAGTAAATAGACGACTTGTCGACCAAAGTGGTGATCAGATTTGTTTGACCCTTCTTCCCCCACGTCTTCTGACTACCCCGCTAATTTTTCTACTAACCCGCATAGTTTGTTTATTTAATTACCGTATAAGCTTAAATGCCTGGCGAAAATTTATTAAATTCGTCAATTTATATTCTTATGTTTTCAGAGAGAATTTTCGCAAATTAAGAACATACTTTTATTTTGGTTGGTCTCTTTTGCATTATCCATTTCAGCAACTATTGAAGAGATCTACCAAAGACTTAAAGGCAAACTTCCACATGCTACGGTTTACAAGAAAGAAGAAATTCCAGAGTCTTACCACTACAAAAACAATCCCCGCATAGCTCCAATCGTTGTCATCGCTGATTTGGGCTGGATGATTCAAACCGACCCAGCCAACCCATACGAAGAAACATTGAGTGAGTTGCTCTCTCCTTCTGCCTCAAGCTAACTTTCAAGTTATATTTCGTGTGTTAGCAGCGTACACATATATTTACTTCTTTTCTTCTACAGACGGAATGCACGGATACAACCACTCGGAATCTGACATGCATCCCTTTATCGTCGCCGCGGGCCCCGACATAAGACAGATTGGCCTAGTGGAAAGGTTTTATCAAGTTGACGTCTATCCACTTGTCTGCCTGCTACTGGGACTTAACAAACCCAATAAAATAGACGGGGACGTGCATCGGGTTGCACTCTTCTTTAAACAGCCGCCTCCGCAGGCTGATCTTGATGAAATTGCACTATATGCTCAAGGAATAAAGGATTGGAACGCTACTAGCATGGCAACTAGGGGTAAGACGATCTGCTGTCATTTTAACCACACGTTATTATATGCTTTAAACTCTCATAAAGCGTCAATTAAGCAAGTAAATACGTGCAAATAAGATAAGGATATGTTTATCAAATGCATGCAGATAACTTAGGCATTTAGTTTAAAATAATAGGCATACATATGAATTCTTAACAAAACCCTTTTTTTGTTTTATAGGGAATGCGATGACGCCTCTTTGCTTGGCTCTTCTCGCCCTCCTTCACCACATTTCTTAAAATATGTGAACACATCGCGTTTTATTGTCTTCCAAAAAATGTGTTTACATTACAAAAACTGTTTGTGATTCGTATTTTTTATTTGTGTTTACTAAAATTCGAAAAGATAGTCAACGTCTACACTCACTAGATTAGCCTTATGGCGCAAAATTATACGTATCAATATCTAACTGTTGGGCTTTTCGTGTGAAATATGAAGAGGTGTTTACTATATTTTTGCATTCCTATGTACACTGTAGTTCTTAAAATAAATTGCCAAAAGTGAAACACGTCTGCATTTGAGCATTTTTGTGCGTCGACCTAAAGGTGGCAATAGGGCGATGATGACCAACTCCGCTAAAATTGCGTGCACACAGTGAACTTCTTATTTTAGGACACATTAAAATAACTACGATGCCAATTTACCATATTATTATACCCGACAGGTCTAGGCGAGAATGACTGGAGTTGACAACTTTGACTCTATTAAGCCTACCTTCCAGGGAAAGAATTCAATGGCGGACATGAAGGCTTAGTTTGCTTTAAATGGGAGCAAACCATGGGAGCCGTTAGTTTGTTTGAGTAAGTGCATATTCTGTAAGCGAATTTGCCCAAGCTTCGGACAGTGCTGTAAAGCTTGACAGTTGTCAGCTCGAGGTCAAAGATGTGTATTCATCTACAAATGTTACATTCGTAAGGTTCGTTTCTGCCTACTGGGAAAAAACGGTAACATGATAGTTTTTCACAGGAAAGATGCAAAGCCTTTTCGCAAAACTGAAATTATTCTGTTCGATGTGCTCCGCGTTAGCAGTGCTGAAGTCTATTGCAAACGTCTAATTAGAAAACTGAATTGGTACGAAGTTGGTTGATTGGCAGCTTTTGTTGGATCAAGGGTCCCCGCCGAAAACCAAACTGGGTGCAGTTCTGAGACAGAGATAAGCCGCGACCTCAGCCGGCTTGAGCCAAAAGTCCACGGGGGTGAGTTGCGTGCCTGGCCGGGAGCTGCAGACGAAGAGATGATGGCAGTCATGCGGTGAGACGCCGCAGTCTGGACAGCAGTCGGGTATGGACGGATCAAGTCGGTGTTGGCGCTGGCGATGTAGCATGCAGTAGCCACTTCTTAGCTGCGCTAGGTTACGGCGAGCGATTTTCGGGAGATGTCGTTCCGAGGCCGAAATCGGAGGTGGATAGCCACCCAGAAGGACCGGGGGTTGTAGCTCAATTTTGCATCCACAACAGCTCTCTGTTGAAGACGCTGGAAGCCTGTCTTGATGGCGGAGCTATCACCGGGTAGATACGAGAAAGACGAGGCGACTGCTGCCTTTCGAAGAGCTCGAATACACGGCCGAACGTTGCGGCTAGGCTC